CAGTGCCTCTGGATGCCTCCTTCCATGGAAAGCTTCCCTGACCAACAATGAGAACCTACTCTTGTTGGTCATGACACGGATGGAGAAGGATTTTACATCTTTGGCCGTCAAAAGCAGGAAACCCTGGAGTCAGAAAGACCTTGAGACACGATTGCAATGAATAATCCAAAGTGCAGAAGGGGTGTGACAGTGACAGTGGTTTTCACGTGATGTGTAGAATGTTGCTGCAATCGTTTTACAGCCAAGGAAGCGCTACAACGGGTCTGCGGGGCGTTTCACGCTTGCATTGCGCAGTTTATCACCACAGTTCCCAAGAGCTTTGCTGATAGTGCACTGGTGGAAATTCACAAGGCGTATCTAGGCATCATACTTGGCTTCATACACATCGACAGTACAGTAAACCAGGAGTCACATGAGTCAACAACATTGTCACAGAATCTCAATATCTTGTGCCAGACTAGTCCCCTAAAAGTACCAACGCACACCAAGCTGTCCTGAAATGCGCCGCCCAAAGCTGAGGTTTGAACTGCGACATGGGGACGCTGACCTCATGGCGATGTTAGAGTCTTCAGTCCCCCCATGCGATCTCAGCAAGATCACCATCTTCTCCAATCACTTGACGGCGTATCGCATGCAAGCCCTGTGATTGCAAAGAGTAACTCATACATCAGCAGTTGTCTTCTTGATACCATCTTTTGACAACAACAATCCACCATTGCAACAACCGGGGTTGGTTCTGGCCCACTCTTGCCTTCCAGCCAAAGGTCGAGAAGGAGACAAAGGACAAGGCAGCGGAGTCCTTCGTCGTATTGGCTAGATTGAAAGTCAATCGCACCCCAAGTGGTTTGTTAGCCAGTTGGATTGCAAGTGGATCAGCTGTTTTCATGTAAGGTTACAACACCGACTACTCCAAACAACGTGGGAACAAACCCAGCTCCAGATCCTGGAAGATTTGGGGAAGCTGAAGAGTTGGGGGGAGCGGTTCTCCATGCACGCATCCCAGCAGGCGGGCTCTCAAGACTCTTGTAATGTGTGCTACATGAGTCATGTCAATCCCGAAGGGTTCATATGGGGGCTTTGGGATGACAGTCTTGGAACAGGCTGCCTTGGACTACAAGCACATCAATGACCGCTTTCAACGTGGCAAAACTGCTATCAACAAGCTCATGGATGAAAAGCATCATTTGGTGACTGTCAACAACTTGGTGATGTCTCATTCTCAAATCGTTTCCATGCAGCAGTCTATGGGTCCGAATGGGCTACTTGATTAGATTTGGTTAGACATTTTGAACATGTTGAAGCCCACCTTGAAGCCCACTAGCCCACTGGCCAATTCTTGAGGCTCACAATCCTGGTGGTCGACGCAACTCTGTGGCCAGCTCGTTATTCGACAAAAGATAGACATTGTGTTGTTGACAAAACTGATAGAACACCAAATTAGCATTTGTCTAGCCTTCATCAGTCAGTTGAGGCGCCCTGGCAATAGATGAGTGCATCCAGGTCTGCCAGAGCGTCAGCACCGGGAACAATAGGACCCTTTGCTTTTTCCTGCTTCCTCAAGCATGGAACACTTCCCACCGCCAATCGGTCCACAAGAACAAGAGGCTCCTGGAGGACAAGGTCCACGGGTACTTTGGCGCAGGGAGTTCCAAACCTTGTGACTTCTGTGTGTTTTGTAGTTTGTTCAATCACCACTGAGATCAAACTCGATCGACTGTTAGCTCCAAATGAGGGCAATGGACTACTTCGAGATTGCACTGAACTTCAGCCAGTCAGACCATGGGGGGGACAAAAGAAAATTGTCCCAACAATGTTTCCTGCCTGAATCAGTCGTTACCACTTTGACCAACTTGCTTGTTATTGAAGAATCTATTTTACTTTTGAAGACTTATCACCCCAACCAATCTTATCAAGTGGGGCGTTGTAGGGCGGACTGGTGTGGGAAAATACATGTCGCAATCGACCCAAGCTCCATTCTCAGTTCCAGGCCTTGCTGGAATGATGAACAGCAATACTTCCACCTGGAGCCGATCGCGTGCGCTGTTGGGAAGCATCACAAACATCCAGAGGGCCAGAGTCTCTGACTTGGTCAACCCAGAACCGGACCAGGCGTTAGCGCCTCACTGGCGGGTGGCCTGTTCAAAGTTAAAACCATTGTGAAAGCACAAAACATCGTTTCATTACCGGAGTGATTTGGAGTGCAGTGGCGTTGCAACACTCTTAGTTTTCACTCAGTTAGCTGGCACCAAACAATATAATCTAACATGGTTCAACCTAGAAGCTCACTGGGCAAGGTCCAGCAACGTGGAACATCAGCAACAGTGTCCATTCTGAATGAGCTTTGTGAGGGCGTCACTTCCGGGGAAGCTCAAGAGCTCTTGGTTGTGGATCTTCTCCCAAGCCGGTGGGGATTTGGGAAAATACATGGTTTCCTTTGAATAATATACATATATGACATATATAAATATAGATTGTGTTTGAATGTGTTTTGATCAATTTACTTCCGGTATCAAGCCTCCTCGAACAAGCTGCCTTTGACAGGTTCGCGGAATGGGGCATGGCTGCCTGGGAGAAGCAGCGGGAATCTCTGGCGGAGCCGACAAAGCGCATCGATGTGCGGTTCCTTTCCGTGTACCACAGCGATTCCAAGGACAAGGCTGCCCACGAGGAGGCAATGAGGGGGAAAATCATGAAGGAGTGGTGGGACTCTTGTGAACTTGCTGGCCCCAAGAGCAGGGCGACCGCCACATTCCCGGAATCTTTGCCCGACCTGACTTGCCTTTCAGTCACCAACGGTGAAGTAAAGACACTGTGGATTGTTTTCAGCAAAACTGTGCTACAGAAAAGGCACTGTTTTCAGTAAAGACACTGTGGATGGTTTTGATGTTTTCCTTTGTTCCCCTCTCACTAGCACTCACATATCCCTTGGTTGGAGCCTAGGATCCCAGAAATGGTCTTGCAGAAGTACATGTCCCAGTCCGATGGGATCAAGGCTGCGGAAGACAAGATCCAAGAGGAGGGACCCACACTGGATGCTGTCCGCTCCTGGCACCAAGGGTCTTCACATGTCCCTGAGGCGCCCAACGCAGCTCGGACCACAGCGTCGCCAGACTGGGCCGGCGAGGTGGTCTGGAACTGGCGTAAGAAGATTCCATTTTCTGCCCTGGAGGTGGGGACCTTTGATAGCAACCACACGTTTCTTTCATGGAGAGAACATTTTCGTGATAGTCATATTCTTCTTTAGTTGGGGCTCAGGGTGAAAACGGTTCAACTTTTAAGGAACTTTATTTAAACCGGCTCAGGTTGAGTGGCTGCGCAACCCTTGCTCGCTGCACATCGCTTCAAGTGGCTGTGACCAGCGCCAATGAGATCTGGATCGTCAACAGGGGTGCCGCAGCCATTGATCTGGAAGCTGGGGAGCTTTTCGGGTTTGGCCTTGGGGCTTATGTGGAAGCCCAGTCAGGCAGAATGCTCCCAAAATCGTTCAAACATGTTCAAACATCAATAAGAACTTTTGCGGGTTCCAAACTTGCCTGAACAGTATTCCAATGTTTAATCCTGCCAGATGTGCCATCGAGCGAGATGATCTTGTGGCTTTTGAAGAAGGACATCCAGTTGGTCAGCCTGACCCCAGAGAAGTCCATCAAAACAGTAGCCGACGTGATGTGCGGAGTCAGCCGAGACCGTGGCATTACTGAAGTCCGCACGCTTGATCATGATATCACAGCAAAGGTTCAGGCTCGTATGGTGGGGGATGGGTCAGTTTTGCAAAGGGGTCTCAACTCACCTTTTTCTAGCTGGTAAGTTCTTGTGCCTTACAAACATCATGCCTTCCCAAATGCCCTCAGGCTGACCGCCCACTTCCCTATCGCTATGGCCTGACTCCATCAACCACTGTGAATGCTTTCAAGCCAAAGGAGCTCCCGTCCGACACAGATTGGTCTTCTTTGCGGAGTGCAGAGCTGGTGGCAATTTTCCACAAACGCTACAACCAAATCCCGTGTGCGGATCACTGCGCTTTGATTTGGGAGGCGCTTCAATGGGTAGAGAGTATTTTCCCAGCCACCCCAGTCTAGACTGGGGCGCCCAACCATCTGCACCATCCAAGGGTCATGACCTCAAATGCGTTGAAACCCTGGCCAGGTGAAGATTGGCGACGAAGTGCCGGCGATGTTTCGGCCGACCAAGCCAAAGTATTACCTTTTGTGCCAGGTGAACATTCCAGGAGGCAAAGCCATCAAACTAAAGTAGTTATGTTCCTATGGGGTTTGAGCTTTTGGCACATGGTTGGTGCGCCAAAAACATGGTGGCTCATAGGTCGAGGGGTTACCCATTTAGTTTTTCACTTAATATGTTTCAATAGTTGGATGTTAACATGATGTTTACTATCTATCAACAGTTTCATGTTGACCCTGAAAGCACGAGCCATCCATGTGGGGAGCGCGTACAAGTAGCAACCATGAAGCGCTCACTTAGTGCCTTCGCTCGCTGGAAAACAAGAACCGTTAAGCTATCGTCCATCCAGGTGCAATTTTAGAAGCAACATTTAGAAGATCAGTTTGAAGCAAGTCAAACGCGTCTCAAAATTCCTCTTCGCGGTAGGGGTGTGCATCGGATTGGCTCAACTATACTACCTATAGATGCAAGGGTACTTCGACCTCATGAACGCAATGGCTCTGTCCCCTGTGGATCAGTTGTCGGATGTGGATGCACATCCTTCTGAGACCCCAGCCAATGAAAGTCAAAGTCAGGCAGAACCTGCACCGAAGCCAAAGCCCAAGGCAAAAGGAAAGGGCGCCGCAAAGGCCAAATCGAAGCCCAAGAGTGAACCAAAGAAAACTCATTGAAAGTGAAGTCTGCACCGAAACCGAAGGCAAAAACCAAACAGGGGTCTGGCACAAGCAAGCGGCCAGCTACACGGGAGGAGGACCCAACTCGCGACGCTGCCACAGCAAACGACCCCGAGGAATCCGAGGTGATGAAAAGGCCTTCGGCGTTGAGGAACCCGAAGACAGCAACTCCTGGAGACAGGCCAATCACGGTGCACAAAGGTCTCTACAAGTGCGGCAAATATGGCTTCAAGATCAATGGTCAAGAGAAGTTTCGCGTTCCCAAGTTTCAATTCATGTTTGTCAATTTTCTTTTGATGCAAACAAAAAGAGGTTTCACAAAGGTTTCACAGAAACCTGGATGTCATCTGAACTAAGTTGTACCCCGTGGAGGGTGTCAGTCCTCAAGATTTGGAAGAGATCGCGGCCATTTGGCAGCAGAACAGGGGTGGGAACTGATCTAAATGAGAGCATTTCCAAACATGTTGGGCATTGAGGTGGCTTTGAGGAATGAGCTCTTGAGAACAAATGGCAACCTCGATGCCGCTAGTGCTCTGAAGGTGTGGGTGTGAGTGGGTGGTACTAAACATGTTCAACCCTGATCTTCGTTGATGTTCTTAAAAAAACAAACTTCTTTGAGCCGCCTGCGTCTGCCAGGCGTCTATGATTGCAGCGGCGAAGGCGAAGAACACGAAGGCGACCGAGACCGCCGCCGGGGATGGCGATGATGCGATTGCGGACCCTGCTGAAGGGGAAGAGGAGGAGGGTGAGTTCGTTGACGACGACGAACTGGAGGAGGGTTAGCCGTTGAAGTCACTAAGATTATTTTGATCATTTTTCTATGACACCAGTTCACACTCCTCCAAACCAGCCAGCAGTTAAAGACAAACATGTCCTATCATTTTCTTCGAACCAATCCAAGGTCTAGATCTTCTTTCTGAGATCGACTGAGTTTTTGCTGATTGATCGCCCCAATTCCTGGCAGTACCAGGAAGCAAACTACAATGGTTCGATGGCTTTGACATTTTGCACCAAAACATGTCCAAGGAGTTGCGGCCTTGTTAGGTTTGGTTCATCTTGAATTGTTTTCGGCAACTGTGTTCATCGTCAGTTAACAGCTTTCGTGGCCTCCTGTGGCACTGCTCTAGGGAATGTCTTTGCAATCGCGCTGACAAGTTTGACTGGGAGTTTGACATGGGTTCTGGGCAGCCATT